AAAAAAAGCTGACAAAAGTGTGACACAAATGGAGTGGCCAATTAAGGATAACGCTTGATCACTCTACCACTGCATATACAAACAATAACTACTCTGTTCACTTCTTCATATACTCTACGAGCAAAGAAAGCCACTGAACAAAAGCCTCCGCATAACACTGTGCAATAAGAGGTAGAAATATAGCAATATCAAAGGATTCGTCACAATGCTGTATTTTCAATTTATTCAGCTGTACATACAGAAATCCTTCTATATAAAAACTAAGTAATTGGAATTTTACCAAAGAGTTAGACTTTCGTTGCAGAACAAAGCGCTGTGTGAATAAAAAAGATTGTTTTCACTTGCTTTTTCCACTTGTTCGCTGCGTTCACAACTTTCCAGGACTCTGGGTATCCAAAGAAGTGGTGAAGCTGTAATCAATTACGTATCTCTTTTCATTTCATTCACTATAATTTAGCCATACCTATGGAATGATGTTGCTGGAGCAATTGTTCATTGAAAATTGCACTTTTTTCTTTTGCTTTAATTTGTATAAATTTATAAACTTAGTAAGTACTATTATTGTTCATCGTAAAAATAGCGGTATTAATAGTGGCTTAAAAAATTGGAAAAAGAGGGACAGAATCATATAAAGCAGTTTTAATCTTCGGTTTTCTTCAAGCTTGTTTTTTAACGTATTCTTGAGTGGAGAGTGTTATTTCCTACCACTGGTGTTCTTTTATTTTTCTTTGGCATCTGGTGGATGTGATTCCTAAAAATGGCCAGAAATCTTTTAGATGAGTTGCTTTTTTGTTGACTAAGCATTATTTGTGTTTGAGATCAGAGTTCACTGTTCTTGTTTTAGGTTTAATCAATGGTAAATTCGTATTTCGTGTAAAAAGCTAAATGCTGGATGACAAGAATAGTTGTTTTTCTTGAAAAATTTACAGGTAACAGTTGAGGTTTTTTCCTCAAGTTCAACTTTAGATTGCTTGAAGGTTATTTTGGACATGCCTTTGGTTACTTTTTTCACCTTTTTGTTTTGTTGTTTTTATATGTTTGACTGTTTGCTGATATGAGGTAGAATCTGTATGAAATTTACGAGTTTTTTAATGAAATATTCTCGTTATTTAATTAAGATTTAGCGTTTTACTTGCTTTGACTATTTTTCGATGTGGATGAAGATTCACTCAAAATATTAAGTCAGCTTTTGCAGAACATTTCTCAATCTTAGTTCTTTGCTATGAATAATTCAGCTGTTGATATTAAGGGGTTGGGAGACATGGGCAAAGAACGTAGGGAAGTGACAAGAAGGGAACACAGAAAACGACCGTTACACCCTCGCCGTCTTCCTGATAGGTATTTGTGTGTTTTTCTTTTTAGGTTTTTTACTTTTCATTTATGTTTTGTATTGTTTCTTTTTCGTTAAGAAATTTACAAATTTAGAATGCTTGTGTTCATATTTTTCGTTTAGGTGGCTAAACTACGATCCTCTTGGTCAAATTTTGCCGGGAACACGTTTCCTTCCTTTTAAAACTCCTTTACGTGCTGATTACTTTAAAAATAGAGGTGAAAATTTTAGAAGAGAGCAGGTTTTTGAAATCACTACGCTAGTCGAGCGCGTAAGTTCTTAAAGTATTTACAGAGCCTTTATTTGCTTATCAATGACGGGCGTTGATCGGGCTGTTTGGCTGAAGATTTTTAAGGGGACATTTATTTGTGACTAGGTTTTATTTAGTACTTACCTTCGACTTTACATCTCTTTTTCTGATTTATTTAGTTATACGATAAGATTTTTAGGCTGCTCGTGAGGGCCACACAATAGGTCTTATCATTGACTTGACAGCGACTAATAAATATTACGATCCTTGTGAACTGGACGAGTTTGGGATTGATTATGTAAAAATTAGCTGCAGGGGTCACTCTGCTAACAGTGATGTTGATGCTGCAAATCTTTTTATCGAGTCTGTTTCCACATTTCTTCGTAACAATGCAAATAATGGTAAGCGTAATGTTAGCTTTTATTCGTTTTTTTTTACTTTTTAAATTTTTTAGATTGTAGTTTTGCACTGTTAGTTTCTTTGCGTTTTCTTGCGATTAGAAATACTCACTTGCCAGAAGAGTAGTTGTTTTTGTGCATGCGACTGATTATTTGTTTTAATGTCTTCACGATCACCTTACTTTTATGCTTTTTGATCAAATTTATCTAAGCATAAGGTAAAATGAACTCCTAGAATATGGTTTTTCATTTGCTTGTATTAAATGTTTTTTAAATGGGTAGCTCGTCTTGATTTACTGGTGTGGTATTTAAAAGGTAGAGCTCAGCTGTTGCATTTTTTTCTCAGATAAATTAATTGGCGTTCACTGTACTCATGGACTTAACAGAACCGGATTTTTGATCTGCAAATATCTTATTGAAGTTGATAGTGTCGATCCTAAAGAAGCCATTAAAAGTAATTTTTAATTTGTTCTTAATGGTGAAGATACTACTCTTCTTGTTTTTCCATTTCTTTATGCTAACTCCCTTCAAGGCTTTCCTGTTTGCCGCACTATATTCCATTTTCAGAAGTTGTTTATCTGCCTATTTTGTGGTTGTTTAGGGTTTGAATACTCTCGTGGCTATAAAATAGAAAGAAGGCGATATGTCAATGCCTTATTTGATGATTGTGTTCGCGGATGTCTTTCTTACCTGGCTGCTCCTGTGAATGTCCCAAGAGTTACCAGTGGTGTATAGCTAAGTTTTTTTCAAATTATACGTCACATATATTTGCTCCTAATTATCATCTTTATCAGCTTTGATTCGTTCTTAAAAGTTCTTTATAAAGAATTTCTCAATTTAGCTGTAAAAAGGTTTGGTACTTTTTATTACCTAAGTAAAATTTTGTCAGTTTTAAGTCAAATAGTTTTACAGAGTACTAGCTTCTGATAATATTTCCTGCTAGTGTTATGTGCCTTTTAAAGGAATTCTTTAAGTTTACTCAAGCTATCGTGAACCGCTACAACGATGGATTTCGCATTTGAATTTAGATATATTAGGAGTGTTGATGAGTCGCTTTATACTCGTAGGAATTTTTGGATTTGCCTTTGAGTGTCACTTTGTCATTTTATGTTTTGACTTTGTTGTGGTTATTTTTTGCGGTCTTTGAGACAGTTGGAAGATGTTGGTTTGCGGGTTTGTGTAGTTGATAGTTTTGTGGAGTCATTTTAGGGTTTATGAATTAATTTAATTGAAACTCGTATTGCCTAGGGAATGATTTTGGGCAATTGGGTTAGCCTGCTTTTTGTTAACTTAACGTTACGAACTTTATTATTTGTAATACCTCTCTGTGATTTATGATTGATTTTCTGTTATAAGTAATGATTATTTCGTTATTTTACTATTTTTAGCTTGTTGTGCTATGGAAGCCGCAGATGATTTTACACTTTTAGGACTAAAAAAGCCTTCAATTTTTTTAAACTCACTGCAAATAATTGAGAAAAATTCGATTTTTTATGCACTTTCCCATTAGAGTTAATATTTTTTAAATAGATTTTATTTTTTGTAATTTGGTCAGGTTATTTAATTTCTAATTAGCTGATTATTGTTAAGTTTTTATTTTATGCTTTGTTTTAAGTATTTATTCAGTTGGGCCTCATTTATGGAAACTTTTAAAAATTCATTTCGTCATCCTGTTTATTTGGTTGTCACTGAGCTTAAAAGTAAGTCGTAATCTCATCCAGTTGAAGAGCTAATTAGCGGTAATAAATAATATTTGTGTCTTGGTATGTTCATTCTGTTTTCTTTTAATTATTGTAAAAAAGTTTTTTTATTATATAGTTATATTGCCATTACAGTCTTGTTACATTATAACTATTAACAGTTGAATCTAACCAAGAAGATTTTGATGCATAATGTTTCTTGCACCGGTAACTTCACAGTGCTGCTTAAATGGACCGACTGAATTAGAATTGCTGTTCTAGATAGGCATTGCTGTGAGAACATTAAAGGAGAAAATTAGAAAAATGAACATATTAGTATTTCTTGATTTATTTTTCATTTTAGGCGTTTCAGTTAGGAGTAATAACAGTTGTATGATAAGGTTTTGATGAGAGGAACAGCCACAATTTTCTGTTTTTTTATTGAATACAAGCAGTATTTCGTGACTTAAAGTGTTTTAATTTAGTTGATTTGTGGACAGTTTGTTACATACACCACGTAACATTTCACAACTACACCATAAAATTTATTGAGACTTTTTTGTCGAAATTCATGACTTGTTAAAAATTAGGAGGTTGTCTACCTAAAACAAAGTTTTTCAAGACGGTTCCGTTGTTTTTGAATCACTATCAGCAAAGTTGTTAATGTTGAACACAGAAGAGCAGCAAGAGCCGTACTAACAATGATCATTTTACCTGAAAGCTTGAACATCATTAGAAGGCGTGCTGTTGGATCTGTCGTTTAATCACTGTTAAGTTTTTTTAGATTATTTATTACTCTTTTGAAAAAAAAATTGTCATACTTGTTGAGAAACAGATTTTGGGGATAACTTGTTTGGCGTCGTAATCGGCAGCAACATTGGATAATTCATTTTTTGCTATAAATCAATCAGACAGTCTATTAATAAATCAGTTACTAATACCAGTGATAGGCAATTATTTCACACTTTGAAATGATAACATGTAAAAATTTGTACTAGTAATACACAGAAATGATTTGTTTTACTTGGTAAACGATCGCTTTCAACACCAAAAACTATTAGCGACTGTTCAGGCAAATCTACATTTGCTATCTTACGTAAGCCCTTTACAGTATCTGAAAAAAATTTATTTTCAATTAAAACGTTTTAAGTTTGTTCCTTTAATTGAATTAGAGAGATAACTTCGAAGACGCTCGTCTGTAATCCTTGGTAAAAAATGAACGCTAAAGGTACTTGCCGTTAGAGTTTCGTTTGGTTCTGAGAAGTCGACTGTAAGAGATTGGTCGTGTTGCCAGAGTTGTCGTTTTCTCAGTACTCTCACTTTGATTTTGCTTGTTTAGTAGCTGCTGATTAAATCAAAAATTAAACCAGTCTTTCAAAACGATAAAGTAAATATGGAAGCGGATTTTTTTTTTGAAAAATTTTGGAATTTTATGAGCTGCAAAAGTAATTAATGGGTCCTTGGATATGAAGTAACTGCAACAGTTTAGATAGCCATATGATAGGAGGTCGTCAATATCAAATTACTTGGTCAGCCGACTGGTTCGTATTTGATTCCGTAACCATTACACGTTTATATCCAAATAATGGTGAATCTTTAAAATTTTTATTGTGTTATTGCTAAGAGGTGTTGGTCACAATTATCGATGACGACTTTAATGGAAGTAATTTTTTTATTTGCCTCTTACATTTACAGTGGTGACTTTAGAGCTACGGGTATAAACTTATCATTTGATATAAAGCATAAAAAAAACGAAACCTTTAAAAATTGGTAAGATATCATAAAGTTGTTCATCAGGAGCCGCAGAAGCCATAGAAGCTGAATACCTGTAAAATTCTTTGAAGACATTGAATGTGGTTCTTCAGTAATTTGAAAGTGGCCAGCAAACTTTTTGCTATAACTGATTAGTAAACTAACTCTTCATCAGATACTCCTTCGTCTTCTTCAGATGTTGCTGTATTTGACGTTTGCAGTTTACACTGTGGTCTCTGAACAATTTTTATTAACTTTAAATATGACAGCATCTCATTGAAATTTACAATTGTTAACTTGTTACACTATGAGAGGAGGCTAATACGAACAGTTGAGTTTAAAAAGGTCGTACCGCACTTGCGCATTTTGTATAAGGATCTTTGACCAACAATTCAATTTGGCAACTGAAATATAGACTGGAACGGTCAGCAAATTTGAAAACATTGGTTTGCTGCCCGGTTATCAAATCTCCAAGGTATTCTAAATCTGGTAGAACTGTCGGTTCAGAGGCACATCTACAAAATTAAAAAAATTACAGTTTTTCTGATATTGCTACAACGTATTTACAAAAATGCTGTTGCAAAACGTCATACGCGTTCGTTAGCTTTGAAACAGTGTTGATAACTAACCCATTTTTATCCACCAACTCGACACTGTCCCCTCCTTGACCGTCGTAGACGACGCATGAATGTACTTTCATGCAATAAAGTTCTTCTGCAGTCGGTTTACAGCTCCATTTGTGGTAGACAACATCGCCAACTCTGACGAACTGAACTGGTTTTCCCGCTGGTCCGCCCGTTAGAATTTCATACCTTTATTTAATTAATTCAAATACTAATCTCACGTGTCTTGTCTTATGTGATTAGACAGTTGTATAGATTAGAATTTAATCAACAGTTACGTTAACATTTCAAGTCATTATTCATCCGCCTACTGTATTTAAAAACCAAAGGAAGCTAATACTATATTTTCAATGAATGCTATAATGTGTTCCTCACTGAACCATAGAAATATTGCGTGATTAAGAAGTTTTAACCAGTGTTCTTTTCCAGTATCTTGAAATTTTTAAGCTGCAAGGTAGAGCACAAGCATTCTTCCTTGGGAAAATTTATTTAAAAAGGTAACTGAGGCTAACCGACACACAGGAAGTTTAGTCTGTTTAACCAATTCCACAGTTGTCATTGCGCTAAAATGCAGAAATTTAAAAAGGTTTTGGTTCTTTTTCAAATTAAGAAATTTCTCGAATGTGAACAGTTCGTGTTCTCCATATACTTCTTGAAAAATTGTGTGCTGATTAATTTCTTCACCTGACATCCATATGTTGAGAAAGTGTTTGAAGTGATTCTATGTAAAAGCATCGGAGATGGTATGCTTTATCGATTTTTGTTATAAAAAGCTGTAAACGATTATTTATTAAGAACTTCAATAAGTTTATTTGTACAGTTTGAAAAATACAATTGTCTTTTAATTTTGTTATTTAAAAATTTTAAAGCATTTTCAGGTAGAAGAACAGAAATTATTTGAAATTGAAATAGGTTGAAAAGTATCACTGAGAGTTTAAGAAAGCTTAGGTACCTTATGGAAAGAAATAATCACCGTTGTTGTAGCGCTAAGACCATTAAACTAAAAATGTCAGCAAATTTATTGCACCAAAAATTATGTTTTACACTTTTTTGGAGTTTAAAAAAATACAATGAAGCAGAGAGAGAATATTAGTAACAGTGAAAAGTAACCTCTCGATAACGTCGGACTCCACATTGGTCAAGAGGAACTGTAAATCGGTGAGCTGTATTTCCTTCACCATACTAAACTTTGTCTTTATGACTTAGTTTATTGAGAGAATATGAAAACAAGTATTTAAAGACGTCAATGCTTGTTTGATATGTCTTTCTAAGATTAAGCTAAGTGAAAAAAGGTCTACACCATTTTAAGCATTCATTCTGGCAGGTAGAAAAGAGTTTACAAAAGTTTAGAGTTTATGTTCTGATAGTGAAAACAGAAAATAAGAATTTATAATAATTTTGTAAACCACATACGATTTACCTGAACACAGCGTTCATTTAAAACATATCCTTTGACAAAGGTTCGACCAACAAATGGTTTCTGTGATTTGAATACAATAGATATGCTATTAGGATCACAGAACAGTTCTGGTAAACCTGATTAAAAAATGCAAAAAAAAAAGTTTTTTTTTTAGTATTTAGCACAAATAATTCTAAAAAAGATAAAAAGCCAAACTTGCATATACCTTCAACTGCATTGTCGTTGTCAAAACTGTCGCATAAATTAATTATCTGAAGCAAGTAACTTTAACTAAAAAATGCAGAACAACAGAAAACCAAACCGGTTTTTAGACAGTTAAAATAAAGAAGCTTTTTTAAAGCATTTCTTTACTAGTTTCTTCTGGATATGCCTAAGTAATAAAGTTCTGATAAACAACTGACGACTTGCGTTTTAGACTGACTACGATATTATAAGATATTTCACAAATCAAAAATTCAAGTACCAATAATCAACTTTCGCTCCTCAACTTCTTCTGCTAATGCTATTTGAAAAAATTGTACAAATTAAAACCGAAAAGAACTGTCACTGTTGTTGAATACTAAAACAGAAAATTTATCAAAGAAATGAGCTTATTAAACAGAAAGGAAAAAATATGAAGAAAAAAACTGATGACCGTAACAAGAAGACCGATTGACAACAGCGGCAGCTGAAGGAAACAAGCCATTGAACAAACTGTTTTTTAGTGGTTTTATAGCCTACAAAAAAATATGAATAAAACTTTGCTGAACTTTTTGAATA